GCTCCACTCAAGAAATACACAGGAGAGATGGGAAAGTTCACCTCATCTGCAGACAGCCAGATATCAGGAGACATTACAAACCTTTCAGTAAAGCAAGACCGATGAATTAGCGATGCCGATGTATAGGCCTATATTAGCTTATTGTTGATATATCAGTATTGCTGTATATTGGCTGATAGGTAACATGAAAAAAAACTAGGTTTTAGGTCACGTAGAACTACTGTATCCATAACAGCAAGAGCAGATTTTTCATGTCACTGTTGGTGTTGGTGAGATTACTCTCAGCAGCATGCAGGGGGATGAATTACTGAAAAACTCACTAGATTAGTAAGCGGTTGCTTTTTAGAAGTAAAATTGCTGATGGTCTGAAAAGGCTAGGCAGCAGACCAAACCACTGTGAGGGTGGAAGACATAATCTTTTAAAACTTAAAAACGCATTGGACTCATAGTAGAGAACGTGAGCTGTTAACCATTTGTTTACCAAATACATTGACTTGACACTGACACCACAACAGTGGTTGTATTTTAACATTTGCATCAAAATTATTGCTAGGGACAGTTCAGTAGTTGGATATGTCCATAAAATCCCTACTAAATTGTAAGCCCTTGCATTACACAGATTGTCCACCAGAGAGCACAGATAAGTTCATTTTTACGCTGTGAAACGTTCTAATCAGTATTTATCTTGGGCATCCTAAAAAAAACCCGAAATAATATCGATATGTATCACAATTATTTGTTTATGTTATGTATCAATAGAAGTTCTACTGGCTGATATATCATCTGATTTCTTAAATCCCGAAGTATCTATGTCAATTTGGCCTCAAAATGCCAATATTGGTCAGTTTATACCTTTTAGCTCTTGTCTGTGTTTAAGTAAAATGTAATAAGGCTGCTAGAATTTTACAGTACGTACCAGCCAGCTTGGTCCCGTTTCCAAAGAGTATGTGTCCGCATGCAGCAACAGCACAGTAGTAGGTCTCAGTATGAGAAAGATTCAGGCTCTCCAGTGGCAAGTTGTAGACACAGGTGTGTGTGTCGGGTTTTGTCTTACACTGATCGTTCCTGCCTCCATGGGTGTAAATGAGTCCTGGATGAGATTCTTCAGAGTTTTTGAACCAGTAAACACTGTGTTCTCCATCACAGGTCCCAGTGTGTACTGTACAGTTCAGAGTCACGGAGACTCCTGGCTGGATGGGCTCAGATGCTGACTGATGGACCGAAACTGGGACGGTCGAACCTGAACCCTTTACACTGACAGTAGTGCCCTCTGCAAACTCAAATGTGTATGCATAGCAACTTATGCAGTAATAAGTAGCTGAGTCTGAAATGCGCAAATCTGAGATTGTCAAGTGATTGTTACCCTTTTTAGTATCCAGTGTGAAGCGTGGATTGTTCTTGAATTCATCAGCAAAATTGCCAGTTGTATCATGTTTAAAGAAGGTGGATAGTAGCCTTGGCTTCTGTCCCAGAGTTTGCTTGTACCAGTAGAACATTGCTGAAATCTTTTCACCATCATAATAACATTTTAATGTCACATTGTCTCCAACATTGGCTGAGACAAACTCACTCTCTTGATGTAGAGACATGGTCAATTTAGCTGAATAGAAAACAGACAAAGAAAGGGTACAATCAGTGCAAAGACAAGTTTCTCATAACAATTATAAATTGGATCAACAATGAATATACTTCTGTAACGATACAAATACTTCCTCAAAATACCCAACTTACCTAATCTCCACAAGCAAAGACAAGTCAGATATGAAGCAAACTTCAGAGATGTCATCGTGATCAAAATGTCTTGATGAGTGTAGAGAAGATCCATACGTTCTCTACTCTTAGAGAGAGGACTGTATCTGATTGGCTAACAAGAAGTGACACTGAATGTCCTATTTTAGTAGCAGTGAACAGTTGAACCGTGCCCCCTCCACTGTCAATTCTCGAGTCAAGACATGTGGAGAGAGCTACTAGAACCACAATATAAAGTCACTAAGAACAGGAATAACTTGGTAAAAAAGACAAGTGGAGTCAAGCAAATCTCTTGTCCGCAGTCCAGACACTGTCATTAGCGGAAAAATCTGAAATAGGTTCCAACTGGTATTTTAGAGAAGGCTCCTTGTCCTGTCCCCAACATTGGTTGCATTTCGGTGATGGCATATTTCAAGTAAAAGATCAGTCTTCCTGTGTTCAAGCTTTGCTATGACCTAAGTTTCCACCAATGGAAAACTGTTCACAGGTTATGCTGTAATAGCAATAATTCCCTCCATCATTCTCTGCTGTATGGACTGTAGGTTTGTGTGAGATGTTGTTACCAGTGGCAGCACGAATGGAATGTGTTTTTGTTATAAAACAACACTAAGGGCCCTGTTTAAATGATCTATGGTGCATGGTCTAAAGTTCACAGTGTAAGTGCATTTAGGGCACGGCCCACTTTTGCTAGTTAAATGGTTTTCAGAATTCTGAAATACGTTTAGATGCTCTGATGACCAGGAGAACGGCTGCTTTACTCCAAACAGTTTCACTGTATGAACGTGGACTGTGTGTGAGACCTTTAGGATGTGTAGAACAACTCACAACATTGATTAATAGGGGTGTGACGATACACTTAGCTCACGAGAAGATATGACACACGATATTGGGTTCAGGATATTTTAACACTGTTTTTAAGAAATCTTCAATGAAGGAATATCCATCCATCGTCAATCGCTGGGCCAATCAGTCAATCGCAGGGGGCCCGAGCCAATCCCAGCTGACATTGGGCGAAAGGCGGGGTGCACCCTGGACAGGTCGCCAGTCCATCGCAGGGCCACACATAGACAAACAACCAGTCACATTCACATCTAAGGACAATTTAGAGACACAGGGAGAACATGCAACTCCACACAGAAAGGCCTGGGACGACTGGGGTTTCGAACCCATAATGTTCTTGCTGTGAGGCGACAACCAACGCACCACCCGCCGCCCATGGTGGGGCGACAATATGCATGATTTTATTTGACCGAATGCCACAAAATGCAAAACAATGCAGGTGCATTTAAAATGTTGCTAGCATATATTGTTCGTGTCTCGCCTGTTACTAGAGGCTGTTTACACCTGGCATTAAAATTAGTTTTGGGTGATCGGATTGCAATCCGATAGGGCTTGACCACTTAATACTAAAGACCTGAGGACAGATTGGGATCCAATCAGCAAAACCACCTGCCCATATACAGCAACTATATGGGCGGGAAAAGCAGTTGCAAATAAAATCCAACAGACAGACAGCTGACAGAGCAAACCATCAGCTGCTGGGGGTGCTTCAGAAACAGTCAGGGGATCACAAGAGTCAGTAGGATTATTCCTCTGAAGATCATGGCTGTACTACTATATATAGAGTATAGTATATATATATACCATATAGTATTGTATTTTCATCGCAGTTGTTTTTGTTGTTGCAGAAAGTAGCTAACGTTGCTCATGAAATTACACTTGGATCTAAATTGTTTCTTTTACTTCTCCCAGACCCACATACTGTGGGAACTGTTTGGTTATTCTAACAGTGAATGTAATGCCTTTGTGTCAGGCAGAAACACAAACATTCTGTGGGAGGACATGAAAAGCAGCTTAGGCTAAGAGCAAAGTGCCACTCCCCAAGACTGGATCTCTTTTTGGCAAAGAGTTAAACTGCATTCTTAATGATAAAGACAAAACAATGCAATGATTGGCTGTACATACATTAATGTTACAGAGTTTCTATGTGTAGATTACTAGTTATTATTTTATTAAACCCTAATTTAGCCTTTTGACAGATTCATTGATCTACTAAAATAGTTGGGGCATTGGAGTTATACTGTGTGGCTGCTGTGCATGACAACGCTGCAGAGACTTCCTGTCTGAAACCACCAAGACAAAGAGAGCAGAGGGGCTCAGAAAGGTGCATGGCCAAAGTATATTGAGAGCTGATCGTTGACTGCCTTCCTTACAAGATCCTTACTTTTCTCACAATGTGTAATAAACAACCTGCAAAGACATTTTGGAAAGACACATATTAAGGTCTGTCAGATTGGTTCCCGCCATGTTCAAAATGTGGATTCAAAAATGTTGTGTTGGCGGTCTTATTACCGCCCTGCTGTGAGAAGGCCAGCCCTGCTGTTTCTAACCATGCAGCCGGAAGGAGACATATCTGTATCAATCATGCCTGACGTTTAAATGTCCATCTTAAATTTCAAAATGTATAGTATGTTAACAGCACTTGAGATGTGAGCATGCTGACTACCTTACTGTCACTGAGAGTTTAATTAGCTTTTTTATTTGCTTTTGAAGTAACCACTAAGACGGACCCAATAATGGAAAGTTTCTCTTTCTGTTACATTTTACTCACAAATTCTCCCATGCACTCATTCTAACACTAGGAGAGAGAGAGTAATCACACTTGAACCCCACAGCCCATCATTTTTAAAGTGTATGCTCAATTTGCATCTTCTAGAATGCTGTCCAATGACAACAACTAATCTTCCAGTGTGTTCACTGTACCAGTGTCAAGGTTTAAATTATGACAAGGAAATGAGACATAACTGATACAAAGCATCTCCCACTCAGTAGGGGGTATTAAACAGATGGGTGTGGCCTGTTTCTCTGATCCTGTACACACTGTCTATGATGGAAGTAGCGTGTTTTATGGTTTGAGCAGTGCAACATAACAGATACACAGTTTCTCTGCAGGTCCTCCACAGTTGGTACTGATTTTGTTTTAATGCTAATTTTCTATTGTGAATGCTAAACTACCTGAGCCCACAGCCACCACAGAGATAGGTTGTGTGTAGTTGTGTGTCTGTATGTTGTAAACCATAACATACGTTATAACTGTAAACCTAAAAATAGTGAAAGTAGAAGAAGATAGCACACACATTGACAACATGGCTCATAAGAAACCCTTGGTGCCAAAAGCACCTATTTCATTTGTTTATTGCAAGGCAAGACTTGACATTGAGTATAATGAGGTGAAATTAGACAGCAAATAATACATTTTAATAATAGATTTATAGACAAGTTCTTCTTACACAGAAATAGATGAAATGTTCCCAGCTCTATTGCCTTACACCGGAGTACAAACATTCACTCTGTGTGTTATCCTTCCGTCTAGTTGATGTGTTGACCTTGAGTTCCCTCAAAGCTGCGTAATGGAGGTTGTCTGAATCTTGGAAATCCTGGTAATAAAATATAATTTTAACATGTAATCACCATAGTAATGCAGGTCACTTGTCTGATTCAACATGAACATACCATCAGCAATGCCAGTACAGTATAATCCACAATGATATAACAGCACTTACAGAAGAGTACCTTTGTGCTTTACAAATAGACCTTTTCCACAGCAACAAAACGACTCGTTACTAAACATGTAGTTCATATTGGCATTCACATTCAGCTATTTCAATGAAATACAGTCACCGGCCACTTTATTTGGAACACCTTGCTAGTACCCCCTTTTGCTTTCAGAACTGGCTTAATTCTTCATGACATACTTTCAACAAGGTGTTGGAAATATCCGTGAGAGACTTTGGTCCATATTGACATGATAGCATCACGCAGTTGCTGCAGATTTGTCGTCTGCACATCCATGATATGAATCTCCCATTTCACCACATCCCAAATGTGCTCTATTGGATTGAGATCTGGTGACTGTGGAGGCCATTAGAGTACAGTAAACTCATTGTGAAGTACAAGAAACCAGTTTAAGATGATTTGAGCTTTGTAATATGGTGCATTATCCTGCTGGAAGTAGCCATTAGATGATGGGTACTCTGTGGTCATAAAGGGATGGACATGGTCAGCAAAAATACTCAGGTAGGCTGTCGCATTTAAATGATGCTGGTACTAATAGGTACTAATGGGCCCAAAGTGTGCCAAGAAAATACCACCACCAGCCTGGATCGTTGATGCAAGGCATGATGGATCCATGCTTTCATGTTGTTTTTGTAAAATTCTGACACTACCATCTGAATGTTGCAGCTAAAATCGTAACTCATCAGACCAGGCAATGTTTTTCCAATCTTCTATTGTCCAATTTTGGTGAGCCTGTGTTAATTGTAGCCTCAGTTTTACTGTTCTTAGCTGACAGGTGTGGCACCCGGTGTGGTCTTCTGCTGCTGTAGCCCATCTGCTTCAAGGTTGGATGTGTTGTGCGTTCAGAGATGGTATTCTGCATACCTTGGTTGTAACGAGTGGTTATTCGAGATACTGTTGCCTTCTTCATCTTGAACTAGTCTGCCCATTCTCCTCTGACATCAACAAGGTATTTTCGTCCGCAGAAGTGCCGCTCACTAAATATTTTCTCTTTTTTGGACCATTCTCTGTAAACTCTAGAATGTTAACAAGCAACTGAACAGGTGTACCTAATTAAGTGGCCAGTGAGTGTATATCCAAAATGTACCTTAACTTAGTATCGCATAATTAGTTTCTCAAAAGTTCTGGTTATGGGAGGCTCCGTGTCATGGGTCGCACGTTCCCGTAGTGGAACAGACCCAACAGCTACTGTGTGCCATATGTATTTTAGTACTGAATTGCATTCATTTGCAGAGGTGTTACTTTTTTCACCCCCGATCCATTGTTGTCGTTCTCTAATAAGCATTGTTATGGTGGTGCGATATATCAAAAATACTCACCCCTGCATTTGCAGCCAAGTCAGCAGAAGATCTTGAGTCTGGTTTAACAAAAAACAACATAAGCCTTCAAAATTCACTAAGTTGGTGTGGAGAAGATGAACGTTATGATTTTACATAACTACTACTCAAGTACGATGGAACACAAAGCACAGCACAATAGCACAGCAGCATACATGAATCAATAAAGACCCATACTACTCCATCTACTTATGGCCTCTTTAGTTAATAATCGTATAAACTGGCACAGTTTTCCACAAATTGATGACTGAAAATCTTTATGTGTAATTTGAGTTGCTGATAAGATGGAATAAAAACTATATTCCCACGGTGTGCATAAGTAATTATTATCATGGAATAGGTTGATTTCTGACGGTCTTGTTTGATTTGGTTAACTTTACTTTTTGTATCAACTTCAAATAGTTGGGCCTCCACTATACAGTACATAAATACAGTAAATGACAGTTAGCTTACCTGTATTTTGGCAGCAGTTTTTGTTGTTCATTGTATAGGCTGCATACGCCAGTACAACAATCAGGATGGTGGTGAACAACAAAGCTCCAATCAAGAAGTACACCAAGACAAAAGAGTCCGCTTCATCTACAGATCCAGGAGACACAACAGAGCTGTAGAATACTGATACAGTATACACTATATGAAACATCTGTTATAATGTTACTTACACTCCAAGTCCAACTTTTTGTGGTCTCCAAACAGTATGTGTCCACATGAGGCAACAGCACAGTATGTATCAGCATGAGAAAGATTCAGGCTCTCCAGTGGCAAATTGTAGACACAGGTGTGTGTTTGTGTGCTGGAATTCCTCTCACACTGATCGTTCCTGCCTCCATAGGTGTAAATGAGTCCTGGATGAGATTCTTCAGAGTTTTTGAACCAGTAAACACTGTGTTCTCCATCACAGGTCCCAGTGTGTACTGTACAGTTCAGAGTCACAGAGCCTCCTGGCTGGATGGGCTCAGATGCTGACTGAAGGACCAAAGCTGGTATGTTAAAACCTGAACCCTTTACACTGACAGTAGCACCCTCTACAAATTCCATATCGTATGCATAGGAACCTGTACAGTAGTAAGTAGCTGAGTCTGAAATGGATAAATCCGAGATTGTCAAGTGATTTTTACCATTTCCTGTGTCTAGTGTGAAACGAGGGTTGTTCTCGAATTCATTACGAAAGTTGCCATTTTTGTCATGTTTATAGAAGGTAGAGATGAGCCATGGCTTCTGTCCCAGAGTTTGCTTATACCAGTAAAACATCACTGCGTCACCTTCGTAGAAACATCGCAAAGTCACGTCCTCACCAACATTAGCTGAATAAAAACCACTGTCTTGACGAACATATATGGAAGATTTCTGAGTAGTTGTCTGAGCTGAAGAGAAAAAGATCCAGAAAAAGCACGTTTAATTCAATGATTAAGTTTTTAATAATGTCTGCGTGCAAAGTTTGTAAATACAAATACAGTAACACCAGACAACTTACCCATTCTTCCCAAGAGCAGATAAATCAGATACAGAGCAAACCCCAGAGGTGTCATCGTGTTCATTTCGCCGTGTTGAATGAAGTGAATCTCAATTCTCCGCTCTACAGAGAGAAGAATCTGTTTGATTGGCTAACAAGAAGCAACACCTAGAATCCTGATTTGGAAACAATGAACACACGTTCAGTGCTGCTTTAAATGCATTGCATTAAGCAAGACCTGCAAGCTTAAACAGGTCTTCTGAGAGACGCTGATGGGAATTCTTTTTCATTAAACACATGTAATGAGGCTTTAAAATGTTCAGTCAGAATGTGGCAATATCAAGACTCACTTATTAGACTTTGTTACTTGTACCAGTTAATGTTCTGTAAATGGTTAGTTGGTGTTAAAAATAAGTCATAAAAGTTTTAGGTTATGCAACATTTAAAGTACGTTTCTCAAAGATGTCTTCAATCTTTTTTTTTTTAATAATCAAGGTTAAAAAGTGCGAGTAGTTGTGATTGCTCACATGCAAATTGCTCACAAATCAGCTGTTTGGGTGACATTCAACCTTCCATGTATCAGAAATGGTGTGCTGGGTCTATAATATCCACAGTTCTTGTGAAACATGTTGTCAGTGCCAGCACAGACAGAATGACACTGTGTGGGACAAAAGCTGGCCAGAATATTTGATCAAAGATAAATCAAATGAAATAGCCAGTGCCAACAGGAAGAAGGTGGAGGTGCTGTAACCTAATAGTATGCCCATGTTACATCAGCAAGTTAAACAACTTATGTTTGTGTGGTTATTATTAGTTCATGCGGCGAAGGTTACTGGTAACAGTAAGAAGTTATGTAGGGATGTTCATTGCCTCACCTGCTCCTACCCAAGCACATCATGACCACTGTTTCAGTGATAGTAAATGTAATGATTGTGTGTTTGCTGTCAGGCAGAAATACCAGGTTTCTGTTGGTGGATATGACAAGATGTTTAGGCTAACACCAACATGAGCACATCACTCCCTAAACACGGCTGACCCTGATGTTTCTGGCAATGATTAGCTGTACTAAACTGCACCCTAAATGATTTTGAGAAAAACACTGAAATAATTATATGTTGTAGATTTACTAGATACTATTTGACCAGTTCAAGATAACTCAACACTGTTTTAGCTCTTATGACTGATTGATTGATCATGAAATATATTAGAGAGCATCAGTAAATATTGGAATACGCATTGATAAGTTTGATAGCTTAAATAATATCTTCTGACCTTAAAATAGTCTGGGCATTAAAGGCATACTGTGTGGCTGCAGTGCATGAAAACACTGCAGAGACTTCCTGTTTGAAACCATGAAGACAAACATGGCCAGAGTATACTGAGAGCTGATCTATGACTGTCGACCACACAGAGGCTAAAAAAAGATCCTTACACCTCTGGGCTTGTGGTGCAGCTCATTTACAGTAAACAACCTGTGAAGAATAACAGGCATCGCCAGTACACAAAGGGTCGGCACTCACTAATGGACAGATTGGTTTGTGCCGCATGCAACATGTGTATTTTATACACGAGCACGCTAACAAGGCTTTAAGGAGTCGTGTCTGTAGCAAACCTGCTCAGTGTTTGCAAAGTCATATCGATTGTGTGCCACTGACTCTGAGATAGTGTTGCTGAGAGATGGTTGCACTTTTGCTTGACTAACCACAAACAAGAAAAAAATGATTTGTGTTGTGAGCAACATTACACTACACATGTACAGACGGTCAATGATGAAGGTTTTGCTTTTGTAAAATCAAGTGCCGCTCATGCCGTGGGTTTGAACTGTTGTTTTTATATTCATTTTCCAGGCGTGCAAACGGTATCTCTCTCTCTCTCTCTCTCTCTCTCTCTCTCGAGTCCACAATCACCACAGTCATCAGGTCAGTTATGTGTGGTTGTGTGTTTGTACATGGTATGGTGAGAGTGGAAATACGGCACCTATCTCGCATCAAAGAGACCTGGGTTAACTGTTGCTGAAGGAACACGTTTAATTGGTGCTTTACAACATTCATTACATGAAGGTGACATCTGACAAACTTGTTTCTTCTAGTAAGAGAGAACAAACAAAGCATGTCTGCTCTACTGCCTTACACTAGAGTACACACATTCACTAGAGGTGTCATCGCCCTGTCTTCTCGGTCTGTTGGCCTTGTTCCTCCTTAAAGCAGCATAATGGATGCTTTCTGCTCCTTGGTAACCCTGGGAATAAAATAAAAAGGGCTTAGTTGTGAAATTAGTATTTGTCTCATGACTGATATTGACAAGTATTGAAAACAGAATCACTGAAAATATACAGTCTAAATCAAAACAAATTAAAAAGCACTGCTAAAGTAACTTCAATTGTGAAGGTAAACAGGTAAATTACTTTTGTAGAGTGGCATTAACTCTGCTGTTGAGGTTTTTGTATTTTAAGCAGTGGATAACCCTCCCCAGAAATAATATAAACTAGAACAACAACAGCACCAATTTCAGTCTTGCACAATGACTGTCAGCCACTGATTTACATTCTACAATCAGTCCTCACAAGGGTATGTAGTAATTAAAGCAATATATTAATTATCCAAATTGTTTGCTCTTTGCTCTTCAGTGTCAATCCTCATGCTGTTAAAATTGCTACATTTATAGTAGTGCAACACTTTGAAATACTCACTTCTACATTAGGAGCTGAGGCAGTTGAGGATCTTGCTTGAGGATCTGGTTGTGAAAAAAAAAAAAAACTCAATTCACTGTGCTTGTGGCTTGAGGAACAGAATATTAACTTAAATGAATCACTGAAGACCCGCAATAAAACTACTTCATAACACCAGGCAGTCTATATAATATACTGTTTTAATTTCTGAGCTCTATGTAAAAAATAAATTGTCGTGACTGGCTTTATTTGCCATGAGTGACTAGAAATCTGTATCCATGAAGCACATTGCAACACTAATGATGTTTGCAGCTGATTAAACGCACACTAATAAACATATATTTCCATGGCATGTATCTTTAGTGCGTTTTCTGCAATATATAAATGAACATATTAAAATCTAAATACATGCTGATGTACACACTTTTTAGGTTGTAGTCCACTTGCTGAGTGAACAAGACCAAAAAAACTGAAAGAATGACAGTTAAGCCTACCTGTGCATTGGCAGCTGTTCATCTTGTACATTTTATAAGCCGTGTATGCCAGGACAGCAACCACAATGGTGGTGAATGTCAAAGCTCCACTCAAGAAATATACCAAGACAAGAGAGCCCCCATTTTCTGCAGACGGATATTACAGAGATTTCCATCTTTTAAAAATAGGTTTTTCAAATTTGATTAGAAAGTAACCATAACCATTTAACAAATCTTTGCTAGAATGTTAGTTACCTTTGAATTCCAGCTTGGTCCCGTTTCCAAACAGTATGTGTCCACATGAGGCAACAGCACAGTAGAAGGTCCCATTGTGAGAAAGATTCAGGCTCTCCAGTGGCAAGTCGTAGACACAGGTTTGTGTTTGTGTGTTGGAATTCCTCTCGCACTGATCGTTCCTGCCTCCATGGGTGTAAATGAGTCCTGGATGAGATTCTTCAGAGTTTTTGAACCAGTAAACACTGTGTTCTCCATCACAGGTCCCAGTGTGTACTGTACAGTTCAGAGTCACAGAGCCTCCTGGCTGGATGGGCTCAGATGCCGACTGATGGACCGAAACTGGGACTTTCAAACCTGAACCCTTTACATGGATAAAAAAGCCCTCTAGAAATTCATACACGTATGAATAGCCACTTATACAGTAATAAGTAGCTGAGTCTGATATTTGCACATATGAGATTGTTAAGTGATTTTTACCAGTGGTAGTATCCAGTTCAAAGCGTGGATCGTTCTTAAAGTCACCATTCAAACTACCATTTTTGTCATGCTTATATAATTTAGACACCAGCTGTGGTTTCTGACCCAGAATTTGCTTATACCAGTAAAACATCACTGCAACACCATCTTTATAGAAACATTCCAATGTCACGTCTTCACCAAAACGAACTGATACGAAACGTAAAGATGATGATTGTTGATGATGATGAGCTGTCGTATCAGCTGAGGAGAAAATGGAGACCAAGCAAATGCACAATTAACTTGACTTGCAGGATAATGTAGATGACAAAATGTAGTGCAAGCAATGTTTTGAAGAAAAAAACATGACAACATGAAAACCTCCAAAAGTTACAACTTACCCATTCCCCCCAAGAGCAGACATGTCACATACAAAGCGAACATAGGAGGTGTCATTTTGGAAAAATTGCCGTGGTCCATTGAGAGACTCTCTATACGTTCTCTGCTTTTCAGAGGCAACCCTCTGTTTGATTGGCCAATCAGAAAGACTCTGAATGATCACATGGTCAGTGAACAGAATTTGCAAAGATTTGTTTTCAAAAGGGTGTCAGGACCTACAGTATTTAGGAAATGGACACAAAATCCACGTGTTATATATCAGGTTCAGTTTGCACACGAAACTAGGGATGTGCATAGGGATCTGATATGCATCTCGATGCATTGCCAATGATTTGATAAATTAAAGATACATATAAAACAACTACCAATGTGGTACGGTATGATTCACCCCCATTGCGATTTGATTTTATTCAACACAATGCGATATGACATGATGCAAAAGTAGTACAAAAATAAGTATTAAATGCTATTCAATTAAACATGGTGGCAGACATGTCACATCATGTCACTGCTTCGGGTGAGTTAGTTTTTAGGTTAGTCTTGCTGCTGTGTACTTCATAGCAACACGGCATGTTTTGCAAATTACATGCATTTTGTCTCTCTTGAAAAATTCCTAAGGGTCTCCAAACATTTGATTTGTAGGAAATAAATCGGATTTCACTAAAAAAACAATACATCTTGCGTTCATCCGAAATTGTAACCAATGCACCTTGAACTTGTGTACTTGAACTTGAACGATGTGAATCAGTTATCTTACCATGCCTACATTAGAACAATGTCTTCCGAAGTCAGTGTAGTAGAATTGGCCGTCATGAACATGATAATACTACTGAAACATCTGCCCTTACGTAAAGGCTTCTTCTAACCTTAAGCAGTGTTAAATGCACACAAAATGAGACTGTAAAATGCCTTAAGATAATGGTGCGTTCCATTTACCTTGGAAGTTGGAGCTCGGAACTGGTAATGATGTCATACCCGAGTTGACCAAGATTGATGCCTCTGGCCACAGTTAGCAAAATCAGCTGATAAGGCATTACACAGTATTTTCCACATACAAACATCGTAGCAACATGCCTACAGATAAAAGTTGGACAGGACTGTGTGTACAACTGATGAGAACAAATAAGACAAAAGTGCAATAAATAGTATATTAATACAGCTTTCACTACTGTTCATTCCAGTGGTAGCCAACTTGGATGTTGAGGTCAGGGTTGGTGAGGTTCTCCCGACTTTCCGAGTAAGTAATATAACATAAGGGGGCATTCCCGTTCAAATGTCCGACTTGGATTTTGGAAATTCTGACTTCCCATGTAAAATGGACACTACACAACCGGTTGCTGCTGGAATGCGCTGTGAAGAGGTCAAGATTTAAACCATATACATCCCTCGTCTTGACCTTGCTCCCATTACTGTTTGCTACATCGAGACCTGTTGTTTCTTAATGACCATATTAGACAAATATTACAAAAGAAGATATGTAGTGCCTTAATAGAGTATTCCTCTTCACATGGTTCACCACTGATAATGTTTTTTTATTCACTGACCTTTGCACATAATTTATTATCCAAATCCTTCATAAAATATCTTGAAATATTGTGATATTATTTGGCCATTTTTCTCATCCCTTTGGCATAGTTTCTTTGGCACAGGAACATTTTGATCTTTAGTCTTTTGAGACCAGTGGATGAATGTTTCTGCTCCATGTGACTTGGTGCACTTTATCAACCCAAAGAACCTCGTATTGGACCTGAGTTGTGAGCTGAGAGGTTCTGGGCCTGCATGATCATGTCTGTCCTCTTCTTTCAAACAGTGGACAACTTTATGGTAAGTTTCCTAAAAAGTATAACTTTGGGTCAAGTTCAGGCATTTGAATTTTAGGGAAGTGAAACTGTGAAAGTTAAACTGTTATGGTTGACTGAAATAACATTTTGATCAACTGAATAGAAAGCTTCACTCAGACCAGGCTTCCCATGAGCTAAGAAACAGATCTGGACTGTTGGGAGTTGTAGGTATGTAAAAATCCTTACACTTCACTGAAGTCTGTTGTCTTGATTTTCATTTAATTTCAATGACAAAACACGGCTTGCTTTAGTTCTTCTTTTGTGCACAGCATGTTTTCTGCAGCTAAGACATGGTGCTTGTTTCACAAGGTTCTGTGCGGCGCACTGAGGTGCAAGATGCTGTGGCCTGAAAGCTACCGGCTGGTCTTCCTGTGTTGAAGCTAGGACTTAATGTTTCCACTAATGGAAACTTGTGCTCTGTGTTCACACCACCTTCACCACAGGAGTGTAAGGTAAACGGTGAGAGCAGGCTAGGCTGAAGGTGCGACCGGTGCTTATGTTTCTAGCAAAAGAAGATATTAATAGGTCTTGGGGGATTTTCAAGATGCTGCTTTGTCTACGTCTGTTTACAGTATTATATTGTATACATGAAGATGCTGATCCATGTGATTGTTGAACACTTTCAGAACAAAATGAACATACAAAATACTGCAAACACATTACACAAAAAAATGGATTTAATTTTTTAATACTATACATTTAGTCATTGACAGGAGAGAGAGATAATTAAAAAATTTTAAGAAGTGGTGAAGTCCTATTTAACTTTTCACTCTTTTCGACTCCTTACTCTAGAGTATACACAATCACTCTCCACGTTGTCCTCTTGACGAAGTCGTTCGCTCTTTCTGTTCAGACTCAGCGCAGCATAATGGAGAATGTCATCTTGGCTCTAGTAATGACAAAATGCAAATTATGTGAGATATACAGTATAGTACTTGAAGTAAAAATACCATAGCTATTATTGGCATCTTATTTATTTAGCGGTATACATTTGGCTTGTATTATTTCACCTACCATGGCATCAGAAGCTGCTGAACATGTTACATGAGAAAAAGTCCCTGCAAAGTAAAATACATGAACAATCAAGCAACATCGATACAGAAAAATATGTAGATACCTTAATTCTGAAATTCTTACCTTTGCAGACAGAGCATGACTTTTGTTTCAACTTGTACATGATGAAAGCCAAGACAAGGAGCACGATAATGGAAACTGTCAACGCCAGACAAAGACAATACACCAGGAGGGGGAGTTTGGTAGAACGTCCTAACATGCAGCCAAGAGAAAACATATTTCATTATCCCTGTTATATATTTAGATTTATGGAATAAATGTAGTCAATTTAACTTGTTCAGGGTGGGAAAAAACAATCATATGCAATATCAGTTATTATCAGCCGTTATCGCCTACCTGTAATCTCCACTCTGGTTCCATTTCCAAACACAATCTCCCCACAGGAGGCCAGAGCACAGTAGTACATCCCTGCATCAGAGGAGCTCACAGACTTAATAGCAAGGTTTAAAGTGCAGTTTTTCATATGAGACTCTTCACTGGAAAGGTTTTCACACTGTCCCGCGCTGCGATACATGACTGCAGGTTGACCCGCTCCATGTCTGAACCAGTAGAGGCTCTGCTCCCCTGCACATGGTTCAGCGTATGCTGTACAGCTCAAATTCACAGAGTCTCCAGACCAAAGTGGCTCCAACGCTGGTTGATGGACAACAGCTTGGATGTTGGACAGCGATGTTTTGACATGAAGGAAAGCTCCTTGTCCAAATTCTATTGCGTTGAATTCTAAAATCCCACAGTAATATGTTGCTGAATCCAAGATTTGAAGGTTGGTGATTATGAGATGGTTGGCACCGTCTTTACCTTCTGCTGAGATTTGAAACCTTTCTTTATATGCAGGGTAGATGGTAACATCTGGGTTATGCTTCATCCGAGTTGATATAATAAGAGGCTTGCTTCCCAAACTTTGCTGGTACCAAGAAAGGAAAGTTACTGCATCATCTCGACAAAAGCATCGCAAAGTCACATTCTGTCCAGCTTTAGCTGTTATGATGCCACTATCCTGAGTTATACCTGAGGTCTTGTTAACAGCTGGAACCTGAGCTGTGTAGAAATGCATACAATAATATTATTTATACACATTTTTAAACCTCAACCTTCTCAATCAAAATGATATTCATGAACTCATAAATTATGAAAATGGTATAAAATAACTTACAGATTTTACAGAGAAGCAGAAGTAAAATGTAAAGTGGCATCATCCCTGAAGCTTTGCAGTCTGTATCTTCTGTGTTGACGTACTCACCCAACTCTTATAGGAGACGGAGGCTGTTTGTGATTGGCCAAGCTGACTGGTTTGGTTAAGAGCAATTTGTTCTTTTGAAAACGACGAGTCTGATCGGAATAAAAAAGAGGTGTAATTTTATGGGGTTGAATCTTTTTTGTTACATCACTGTTGTTGCACGTTTCAAGGACAGTAGGTGTGACAACCTGTTTTTATACCATGAAAAGGAAAGGAAAGTCCATTTCTGAATGGAGGCGTAGATGTTGGTGCATGTCAGTGTTTATTCCCCACAATATGCAAGGTGCTTAGAGGTAATTTTTTTCATTTTGGAAAAACATGCGGTATAATTCAGTCATGACACAAATGTGTCATTCTATTTGTTAGATTCAGATGTGCATGCATTATGTGATTACTTAAGAGAAAGAAAGAAAGAGTTTTTTTAAGGGATGTGTGTGTTTAAATGGTTAAGTGGGCTCAAAGGGAGTGTGTGGGAGGGAAGCAGACAGAAAAAAGAAAAAAATCAGTTCCAATGATCAAACCCATCTAAAGTACTTTAAAGTTAATGTTCATAGCATAATTCGACATTGTAGGACCCATCATGCCACTGATGCCCCTCAGGTTAGATGTGACAGTTGTTGCTGGCTCTCTCCCTATTCATTCAGATGGGTGTGGCATGACTTGTCTATAAGAACTTTGGTCATAGCTATTGCTTATTTGTAGCAAGCCTCTGGGGCTGAAAGATGAAGCAATTCTTCGAATGGCCACTTGAAGCTGGCTCCAAAAGCGAGTCAATCTCCGTAAACACCCCTGTAAAAACCTTTCAGCAAAAATAAACATGTTTACAGCCTGGTACAAAAAGTGGTCTCAGCTACTTTCCATATTCATGACAATTGCATTATATATATGATGTATGCATAATTCAGGACATGGCTGCTTTGAGAGACAGGTGGGTGCCCTCTTAGTTGGCTAGACTCTATAGATGGTTCAGCAACCAGGCTTCATTTGGCCTGCCTCAGCTCCACCTCTTTTTTGGATTAGCCAGAGTGGCATTTTGTAGTAGACACCATGTCAACTACCGTGGTGCGCTGCTGACCGTAGCTCATCATAACCCTATGCACTGCAGCCTATCATTGTTTATACAGAACATTTCTTTCCCTCTGTGCAGTAGTGGTCCTGCACCCAGCCGGCTCAGCTGTCAATCATGACGTAAAACCCTCTCTTTTTAGAAACCAATAACTAATTAATATCAAACATATCAGAAAAATGAACATACATTAATGCACATTAGCTTGATAAGAACTATCTAAAACAACAGAAACTAAATGTCTTCCACATGGCGTATCTGCTGACATGGAGACATGGAGGGGGCGGGGTGTAGGACCTATACTACAGCCAATCACCAGGGGGTAAACGAGATGATTTGGCTTAACTTTTGGGGAGCTAGCTAGCTAGTTTTCCAAGCTTGCTAATGTTAGCACTGGTTCCCACTATAATTTAACTTTTGTTCATGCTATTTCAGTGCCTGCATAGTCAGTGTTCGTCCCACAAATAGACTGCATAATAAGTGGATGTAGTCATCACGGCGTCACCCGTTGGTTTGTGAACTGCCGTTTTGAAGTTTGGCTGATAGGGCGCTGCCATGTTGAGTTTTTGCAACCAGCTGCACCGGACGTGACCATATTTGGACGAGAATGTGGAGCTAACGGCCATGTGTGGAGCTAGCTAGCTTTCTTAGCTAGGTGCATCTGTAATTCACTGTCATTTTAACTGGGAAGATCCTTTTGTCTAGTGAACAGTCTTAAAACTAAATGTACTCACCAGAGAAAGTGATTAGCCAACTCCTAATATTCTTTTTCAAAGTTGGTGGTTAAATGTACACAGTGCGGTGGGTACGAGTCACTCTAGCCTCTAGGCTGATTGACAGGTCGCCATGTTAACAACTTGTCAATTATAGATTCATCATCATAGACCTGAAGCATACTCTGCTTTATGGTCTATTTTCTGATAAAGGGGACCATAATTTACTAAATGATCATGATATTGTGTTGAAAGACTCTTTAGGAAAGGGTTTACTGAGGCAATAAATCAGGTGAGAAGAAAAGTAATTTTACCATTATTTCTAATGGAACCGGACTTCTTTTTGCAACAAGAAGAGTCACCCCCTGCTGGCCGTTCAATAGAATACAGGTTTGAGAGACTTCCGCATAGGATTCACGTTTCAGACTGGAAGCTTCCTGCTTAGTCCCACACTAAGACAGGAGACCGTTAGCTAGCTAGCCATAGCTGTTCATGGGTTCAGATGTGGTTTGGACAAATGACCACAATGTTAAAAGTCACAAACAAAGTCATAAACAGAAATTTGCACATAGTTCCAATCCTATGCCAAACTGCATCAACGGGTATTGTGAGCTAATATCCTGATGGTGGTGCTACAGAAACTGTCTAAAGTTTAAAACTTCCCATTCATAAATCATTCAAAAGTGGAAGGAATTATGAAGTCCATCATTTGTTTTTCTCAAAAACTAAAACTAATTTAACACTCTCAAATGTTTTGCTTCATTGACAACAAATGTGCCACACTGCATCTTCAGACTTTCCCTTTGGAGTTATTACACATTGAGCCCACATTGCATCAAAATGTTTAATGTAGTCCTAAATTCTTGCTAAATGATTCTGCAGTGTTTTTTGACATTTTGATGTCATGTTAGATGTCCTGATAATTTTAGAATTGTGTCTCAAAAACAAAATTGTTGACAGTAGGCCTATACAGCATCTTTAAACATCAGTTTGTCCAAGCAGTTCTGCTGACACACCCTCATGTATTTGTCATTTAGTCCTCTTCCTGTTTTCATCTTCCTCCTCTTTCTCCTTCTTCTTCTTCCCCCTTCATAAGCCCAACCCTAACTCACTGCTGTGCAGCAGGAATCATTTTTATTTTCACATTTTATCATGCCTTCTACAAATCCCATATAACCTTGTGTAACCACTTCCTCATTTATTCCATTTAGACTCAGACATATGTTGGTTTCACTTCATTTCATCACATCACAAAATTGCGTGAAATACAATCCACCAATCACATAATTTCTGTATGCACATTTAAAAATAAATGGTGGTAGTATTGTGGTGTATTCCGGGAACTCCTTGACAAAGAGAGTGGCAGTCATTTAAAGTACACATTATTTGTAGGACATGACTTAAAAAGAAAAACTGAATTTATTAAAAAATACCATTATTATCCTTTAAACAGAAGCTGGCTAGAGAGGTTTGTGGATATGATTTTCAGTCACATGTTGCCTGATTTTAACGTGGTTAAAAGTGTTCACTTTATAATATATATTGTATATAATATATAGTGTTGTTGCAGTGAGAGAAATGGTCGGATTGTTGTCAGGCATTTGCACCTTTAACTTTAACCAGCTTCAGTCCTTCGGTCTAACTCTGTCAGACCCTTGCAAATTTAATAGCATTGTCAACACGTGGAGTTGACCTTTACCCAGAAGAAGCGGGCCGCTGCGTGTGACTCAACAATGCCCTTTGATGTTCGTGGCCTGTACATGCTTTCACAAAACTGCGGTGAAAGTTCTACAGTTGTTGACTCAGTAGAGACGAGGCATTACTGACCAATGCTTTTCTCACTTTAACCCATACTTCCTGAGTCGTGCAAAGTGACAATAGGACGGCCGATTGTTTGCTGTTTCTCATTGAGCAATCATAGTCATAGCTCAAAAGGAAAATAGATCCTCCCATTCTAGTTTTAAGAGAATGTGAGTCAGACTGTATGGCAAAAAGTAAAAGAGGAAGCAGTGCTGTTACTGTTTGTCTTCAATGTCACATCAGTGTCATTTGGAACTAGGTGCTCAATACTGTCAAGTTTTGTGCTTCCCAAAAATGTGTGGGTGGAGGACGCTTTTTGCTCTTGCTCTGTCATTTCATCCACACATGTATTGTGCATTTTAAGAAAGCAATTCTGCCCAAAATCTTGATAAGTAATGAAAGTTGCTACACATGGAAGAATTTGGCCCTCAGGCCACCCTTTCAAGCCACAAAGCCTTACTACTTGGTTAGGTTTAGAGACCTAAATTACTTGGTTAGGTTTAGAGACTCAAACTACTTGGTTAGGTTTAGGAAAAAAGAAAGGCAGAGTCTTTCTGCCAGAAAACCCTGAAGGTATATATATATTTATTGTCATTTTAATAATAAGTCATGGAATCTTTTATTCAGCAAGCTATGGAAAACTCTATTCTCAAATTCACCATCGTGTATCACTGCTATCTCGCTGCCTTTAATTGTTAAATGTTGCTACCCTCCCTTTTGAAGTCCTACAACTTCATCATGCTTTCAACTACACACTTACAAAATAATCTTTTAATGGTCCACTAAACCTCAAACAAGTTAGATTTCTGGTTACTGGTGAGAAATCACATTTTAGATTTCATGCTAAGCTTCAGTGGAGCTGCTGCTGTGGTCTTTTCACTCTTCATACACAAATGATGATGAGCATCTTGATAGTGTTTTGTACCAATATGTGGACACGATATAACAGCTAGAGTGAATTTTCATAACCTTTGAAAATAAGTCAGATCACTTGGGCAGCAGATGCATCTTGTGGAAAAACTAGACTTTTGTGTTTTTGGCATTAAGGAGTAAATCAGGTCATTTCGGAGCGAGTATACTTCCTCTGTACTTATGCACTATTATACACAAAAAACAATCAGAAACATTTAGCTAAAACAGGAACATGAAGACAACCTTTAACTAGAAATAAGAAAACCTGCAGTTACAGAGAGGAGAAAGCAAAGCCCGACCCCCAACAGCCTTGTCATAATGCTCCTCCTCCCTCCTCCTCTGTATCTGCTGCCGCTTCAAGTCCCCTGTACCAATGATGTGCATGCCTTTTAATGTTGTGCCTTTTATCAGTTGTTTTTTTGTTTATGTAAGTTCCAAGTGCGATTTAGACTTTTTAAGCTGTTAACAGGCTGTATGAGTGTAAAATACAATTCTGCGAATGAGAAGTGAAAGAGCGAAGGTGTTATTGCGAAGCTACTGGAACAAACAAATATAGCATCACAAATAAAACCACATAGACATCCTGTCATGGGGGGGGGGGGGGCAAAACAAAACCACCAGTGGGTTGAACTTGACGTGAGCAAGCTTGACCAGAGCGGGAACTCAGAAGAGCGACATTTCCCTGTTATTT